TCCTTTCCTCTGCTATTGCACTCTGATTTACTTACTTTAAAATGACTTTGCTTTTAATGCTAGTCGAGACAAGCTTTGCAGAGCTCCCCTGCCCCGCTCACACAATCACACAGCGCTCTCTGCTTTTCCAAACCCATCATCTTGCCATATCCTCATGAATTAGCTACAGCAAATATTATTATTCCCACTGTGCAGATTAGGAAACCAAGAAATAGCAAAGTTGAATTCCAGATAGAAAAGTTTTTCGTCCAACAAAAGCTTCTTACTGAAAATTTACCCACTGTCTTCTGATAATACTTTAAACCTCGGCAAGTCCTCCCGAGTCATTTGTGAGATAAGAACAAAAGCTGGCAGTTGCCACAAAATGGATAAGAAACGGAATGAAGGAATTTGATTTGTACATGGGACACCTGCTTGGGCCTGAAGTTTGGGCTGTTTCTAGTTGTGCGTGGAAACATCTTGGCAGTTTGGAAACATGAACCGCAGATGAGTGGAAGAGGACCTGCAGATGATGCGTGCTCATGCGCTGGAAACCTGCTCCGGGAGACTGTGGAGAAGGCAGGTTACCCAGGTCCCTTCTCTTTCCCGAAGGCTCAGCCCACGGGTATCTGTATCCACTGCCTGCGGCCTGGGGAGGCTTAGTGGAAGATAAGTTGCCTGCAGAAAGTACTTTTAACACTTCTCTGGAAATTGGCTGCATTTTATTCCTAGAGAAGCACAAGTTAAAAAAATTTTGAAGCAATCTTCTATTTCAAAATTATCAAGTACGGAAAGAAGTTTCTTACTTTCAGTCGAGTTTCAATATCGAGTTGCCAAAAGAAAAGTAATTTATTCCTTTTCATTTTTGAAAGGGATTGCTTGACAAGCCAACACATGTCCTGTTATGCTCCAGAAAAGTCAGGGACTTCACCAAATAAATCATCTGCTGCATGTGAGATAAGAAGACAGCTTTTCCTTATTCACCTTCTTTTTAAGCTTATTGCCACAGTGTTGACAATATAGAATTCAAACCCTAAGCAATCTGAAATGTTATCACTGAGAGAAATCATGGTGAAAAGTCAGAGAGTGGCCTCTTATTTTTCATAATAACCCAAATGTAGTAAAAGCTACATGTAAAATCAGCCTGCAGGACGAGATAATCTCCAGTCGCATGTGTTCAGTGTTAAAAATTAGAAATCAGTGGCAAAGCACAGTGGGGTTTTTGCTGAATCAGTAGATTATGGCTGCTCTTGCCACACGGGAGAAAATGGGTAGCTCTGTGAGGTGATTGATATGTTAATTTGTTCCACTATAGTAATCATTTTACTATCTATCTATATATCTTATAACATCATGTGTATACCTTAAATATATACATAAAACTTATTTTTAAAAAAAAAAGAGTATGTCATTATAAACATTGACAGCTCAGCATAGTCCCGTGTTGAAAATTCCTTCTGCCGTTGTACCTGGCCGTGGAATTTGTCTTTTGTCCAATATGGAAAGAAGAGAAGGACTAGTAGGACCAGTATTACATTTGGTACTCTGCGTAGATGCAGCCTCAGTATTTATCATCCTAAGCAGATCTGGACTTCAGTGTTGATTGAGTAAATATTACAGCCTCAAGCTTATCTTAAGTCGTCATATCTATGACCTCGTGGTTAGCTGTTTCCATGTCGAGGGTAACTAACAGGATGAATTCCCCATAACCAGTTTTTAAAAAATCTGCTGTGCGTTGATTTAACATGTATTTCATGAGCATTGACTGTATACCACGAGTCAATTTGGACATCGGAGCTTTAAGATGACTAAAACATGGTCCCCATTTGGGAGGATGTTGCGTTCCACTGAAGGAGATTGATTTGTAGCTGAATAATCGGTACAGGAGGATAAATATCATAAGAGAGGCACGTACAAAATGCTGCAGGAACACAGAGGAAGGAGCAACTAACTTTGGACAAGCTCAGCAAAGCATCGCAGCAGCAGTGACAACTTAGCCATTATAAGCATGGAATGAAATATAGACAGGATTACCGGGGTCAAGGAAGGAACCAGAGGCATCGCCGGCTGGCTGGATCCTGTGTGGGTCGCCCAGAATCTAGGACAGGCAGGTGGCACGTGCAGGGCACCCTGCTCCTGCAATCACTGTGCACAGGGGCGGTGGCGGAGGACAGAGCTGGGAAGTCGAGGAGGGCTCAGTTTGGGAGGGGCCTGAGGCTACCCCGCTCCTCCTCTGCTCCCCGTTCTGATCGGCAACACCAAGGGTGATATTAAAAACATCCCACAAGCATCATGGCACAGATTCAGATCTGTCAGAAGGAGGGGACCCCAGGCCACCTCCTGTGCCAGGCCTGTCGCCCGCGGGGGCGTGGTGTCAGCCAGCGTTCCCAGGAGTGGAGCCAGAGCGTCAGGGAGGGGCTCAGGGCGACAGCCACGTATGAGCAGCTGGGAAGCGTTTCACTGTTTCAACAACCAGCACAGCCAAGGGTCTGCACCGCCATCGCCACGGCACGGAGAGAGCGAGGGGGCTGTGCCCCGATTTCCTATCTCCTCCGCACCCGGACGAAGATGACTTCACCCGCTAGACGGATCTTAGCTGCCTTCTTTTCTCCCCACCGCCAGAGTGAACTCTCTAAAAAACCTAAGTGGTCATCCCACTGCCCCGATTGAAACTTTCCGTGGGATGAAGTCCAAGGCCCTCACCCCGGCCCGGCTGACCTTGGCGATCTGGCCCCGTTGTCTTCGCAGCCTCACCCCCACCCGTCACTTCCCTGGGCGCTTACTCCTCAGGGCAGGTTCCACGGTGTCCCCGGTGCCCTCAGCGCAGGAGATCTGCGTGTGGCGGTGGCAGATCTCGGGTGACTGGCTTACCTGCGGCCAGCGAGTACCTGGTGTGCATCTGTTGGATGTTTATCTATCCGTCTAGCACACCGACTTAGAGAGGAGGTTAGGTTTTTGTTTATTTGTTTGTTTAAGTGATGACTTGGATCAACTCCAGAGTGAGGGAGGCAAAGGCGTGGACGGTGGTGGATGCGTCAGATGACACCCATGGTCAGTAGTAGTGAAAGGCTGTTGAGGACACGAACGACAGATTTTATGTGTGTTAAGGGTAGGATTTGTTGCTGAGATCTTTGCTTCTATCTCCAGTTATAATGTAGCGCCAGCGGCTTATTCTAAATATGAATGGTGCTCTTGTGTGACATTTATAAAGTACAAATAAGGAGTTGAGTATAAATGAGTCGCTCAGGATGGGGTTTACAGGGCACAGGCGGTGTGCTTGGCACAGAATTAACAAGATAGAAGGGCTCTGCCCTCATGAAGCTTATGGGCCTGCGAGAGAACCAGATAATATCATAAGTAAGAAAACTTGCCTGTCTCTGCTTCCCACCCCACTAGTCCAAGCCAAACCATCGTCCTGTTTCGCCCGGACCGCACGGTAGACTCCACGCTGGTCTCCCTGTTGGCATGCAGGGCCTTCAACCTTCTTTATAAGGCAGCCAGAGAGGGCTTTGAAAAATCTCAGATTTTGTGCCCGTCCTATGTGAGCCCATTCATGACTTCACATTGAAATGTGGGAAAAATCCTGATTTCTCTCCTTGGTCCCCGAGGTCAAGTTTGACCAGGCCTCTGCCTGTGGCTCCAGCCGTGAATCACGCCGCTGTGCCCTGCCAGCTCCAGTCCTAAGGGCAGCCTTCCGTTCCCTGCACACCTGGGCGCCTTCCCTTCCCAGAACTCAGCTCATGCTGGTCCTACTCCCTGCGCTGGCTGCTTCTCATCTTCTAGATGCATCTAAAGTTGGCTCCGCCTCCCCCACCGCTGTCTCCCTTTATCGAAGGGCCCTTTCCTAGCCCTCAACACAGTTTGTAATTATCTCTACATTTGTTGAGGAGAAAATTGTCTGAAATTAGGACTTTCTTGTGCAATTTAGAACCGAGAGGAGAGGATTGGATCTTGAGGCTTGCAGGTATCCTTTCTTCTGCCTCCAAAGGGTTGCCTAATTGAATTGCCAAGGTGTGATTGCCAAGCAGCAGCAAGCAGCAAAGGTATTCATTCTGCCTACCGATTTCGGTCAGAGTCAACGCCTCTGCAAAATGCCAGAGTTTGTGCTCCATTGTGAAACAGACATCTTAAAGATTAGGATGTATTAGCGAAAGCATAGTAGGGTTACCCATACAGACAGCTAGACAAATCTGAAAATATCCAATTATTCAGAATAGGCCTCTCTTTGCAGAAGTGCTTAGGTGAAGAGGAAGCAAGATGATTAATCAAAAAATCAAATGCTGAAGAGGAAATTTTAAAATCTTCAAGGAGAAACCTGTAGTTAGAAACTGAAGGAATGAGAGAGAAGCAGGCTTCGTGAGCTCTCAAGGCACCGTGTACAGCAGATGCAACTGGGGGCGGGGTGGGGGAGGGGGAGACAGCGGCAAAGCGCGTGGCGTCAAGTGGGACAGACACTCTGGGAGGTCGAGTCCAAGACCAGTCAGTGGTGCCGTCCTCAGCTGGCTCGGACGGCGCTGGAGGAGGGGGTGTTTCCCTGTGGCACTTTGTGGTGTGATCACAAGAGGCTTGAGGGATGGTGACCCGTCCAATCTCATGAGACTGTCTCTCTTTGTCTAGAAAATTGTGGTTTCCTTCCCTGGAAATCCCATTCCTCAAAAGCCTCTGATTTCCTGTTCCGGTCTCTTATTAATACTGTACTGAAGTTGTACTTCTGGCCGACAGAAACAGTTTTTTGGTGGGGGCACAGGCGGTGTGCTTGGTGCAGAATTAACAAGATAGAAGTGGGCTCTGCCCTCATGAAGCTTATGGGCTTGCAAGAGAACCAGATAATCTCATAAGTAAGAAAACTTGCCTGGCGGGGATGTTGCATTTTTCCGGAGCGGCTGTGCATATGTGCATAGCAGTTTAGGAGCCAGTGGGACACATGACACCTTCCTTACAAAGTGTAAAGCGTCGAAAGCAAGACGGTGACCAGTCCTTCCCGCTGCAGGCTGCTCACTGACTCTGCTGTTTGCCTGCAGTCTGCCACGAGTCCTGCGCAGGCTGCTGGGGCCCGACGGAGAAGCACTGCTTGGCCTGCAGAGACCCCCGCCAGGTGCTGCGGGACGGCGGCTGTGCGAGCAGCTGCGGCGAAGGCTTCTACAGCCGGCAGGGCGCCTGCAGCGGTGAGGGCCAAGCGAGAACGCGGCGTGTCCTGCATCCTCTTGTATTGCCAGCGTTTCTTTTGCTCAACAAGTACGTGAATAGCTGCTGACGCTGATGTTGTTTTAGACATGTACAAAACGCTTTTCTCCAGTGGCATCCCCTTTCATGGCCCTGACGGCCTGTCGGGTGGAGGTGCTTATTCTATCCCCATCCTGCAGGTGAGGAAGCGACTTCCTTTTTCATAAGTGAGTCCGCTCCATCGATAAAATGTGCAGCCCGTGAAACCATCTTGAGTCATTGTGCTCACTTTGTTCCCTGAGCAGGGCAACAGCAAAAATGAGATGGTCTTTGGGACCTGACATTCCACCTGTCTTAGGAAGAAGGGAGCCCTTGGCAGCTGCTTGGGTAAAGCTGCGCAGGGTCCGTCAGTGTCGCCGGTACAGATGCGTCACACGTGGCTTCCGTGTGGATTCGGGAGAGAGCAGGAAAGAAAGGCCAGGCTGCCATTAACCTGAGCATGTTCATCTGTTTCTGCCGGCGTCACTTCCCGGCTCGATTAAGCCAGATGTGTTCTCTAAAGGTCGACAGATGTCAGATTTGCACTAATCTCGGGGCCCACAGGCATTTGCCCTTTCAGTCCCCGCGGAGGCTGGTCACTGTCACTGAGGGAGGAGACCGCCCGACTTTATCTGGATTGAGAAAGCAGCTTTTTGCCAGGGAGGTGGTGTGTTTAAAAGGAGAGACGGTCAGGGCAAGCCTTGAGGCTGTGAGAGGTAGGAATCGGCTTTTGTCTGTGTAATTGTGAAAAGGATCAGGAAGAAAACTTGCAGCTAGAAGGACAGACCATAGCTGACACTAATCAGCCGACTACTCAATTGATCGACAAGTAATTACTGAACGCATGCTAGGTGCTTAGCATGATGCAGGAGTTTATGATGCCGTCGGTATTGACCAAGAGGTCTTTTAAGAAACAAAACTTTCCATAGCATGGTTAGAGTTCTGTAAGTTTGTATCAAGTGACTTCAGAAATGTTCACATAAATGTTTTCTGCAGCAACAGTGAACCAGCGCACCGATGGGTATCGCAATGTTAATTAAGACGTCGGGCGCTGATACTGCTGACTTATTTCCAATTCAGATTAGTGCTATTCAGGATAAAGACCAGCTGGTGTTGGTTTAATAATTTATAACCAACCAGCCCGTATCTGTAGAAATCTCAAAGTCAAGTGCTGAGAAAAATGTGGCGCAGCCTGTTAGGAATGCTGGTTTGCCCCGGCGGAAAGAACTTACAGTAACCAAGTTCATCTGCTGTACATGTTCTGAGTTTTACAAATATTGGATATAAAGGTGGGGCAATTCACAGGGAAAAAAACCTCCCTGTTCTTTTGTCTTTCAAGTACTTGTGCTGTTATGAAGGGCTTTTCCGACTCCAGCTAACATGATAAATCAAAGCGAGTTCAGAGGTTTCTGTTAGCCATTCTTTCTCTGTCTTTCTCTCTCTTCCTCCTCTTTCCTCCCTCTTTTCTCTCTGGCTCTCATGAATTCTCCTTTCTCTTTCTCACCATGCAACCATGTAATTTTTTCATCTTTGTTTTTATGAGTTTATCTAAACTGGGCATTTTGTCGTGAGTGCATGTGTGTAATGTTCGGTTCTCTCAAAGCACGTCATGTTGCGGAGTGCTCGCTGCTTCCTTCCTCCTCACTCGGCAGCACGTTTCTGAGACGTGCCCCTGTGGTGGCGTCACCTGCCCTTTGCTCCTCACTGTTGCACGGTGCTCCTGGGCTGCTCCCCGTCGTCTGACCCACCCACGCTCCTAGGCACAAACCCCTTCCATCCGCTCCGTCTGCATCGCTAGAGAGCACCAGCGACCAGCCTCAAACGTGTTCCTTCATGAACCCGGGGGAGGGTCCCTGGGATCTGTACCCTGGAGCAGAATGGTTGGTTTCTTAACTCTGGATATTCTTTGTTTGGCTAAGTGGTGCTGAACGGCTGTGCAGTCTACATTCCCAAGCATGCGGATTGTCTCATCCTTGCCACCATTTCTCGTTATCAAGCTTCTGATTTTTTTCTGGCTAGTGGGTATAGAGGGTCATCTTATTTAATATGCATATTTTGATCATTAATGAGTTTGAGCATACCTTCAACTCCTGTTGGACTTTGAGTGTCCTCTTCTACAAATTGCCTTTCAATGTGCTTTTCCCATTGTTCTGTTGGCCTTGCTGCCTTTTGTGGAGTTCATTTTATGGAGTTCCTTGTTTGTTATAGATATTAACTCTTTTGAGCATTAAATATGCAAATAGTTCCCATTCTGTTGTCTTCTAACTTTGAAAATGGTGTCCTCTGTTGAACTGAAATCTTTAACCTATCATTCTTTTTTTTTTTTTTTTTGAGACAGAGTCTCACTCTTTTTGCCCGGGCTAGAGTGAGTGCCGTGGCGTCAGCCTAGCTCACAACAACCTCACACTCCTGGGCTCAGGCAATCCTCCTGCCTCAGCCTCCCGAGTAGCTGGGACTACAGGCATGCGCCACCATGCCCAGCTAATTCTATATATTTTTAGTTGTCCAATTAATTTCTTTCTATTTTAGAGACGGGGTCTCGCTCTTGCTCAGGCTGGTCTCGAACTCCTGAGCTCAAACAATCCGCCCGCCTCAGCCTCCCAGAGAGCTAGGATTACAGGCGTGAGCCACCGTGCCCGGCCTAACCTATCATTTTTTGCTGTAAGGCTTTGCTTTTGAATTTTTGTTTAAGAAGACCTACTCTGCTAACATTCACGAATAATTTATTCTACATTTTCTTCTATTAATTTCACAGTTTTCTCTTAACTTAGGTTGTTAGTCCATCTGGAGTCCAATTATGTATATGAGTTTAAGCAGGGATCCAGTTTGATTTTCTCCGTTTTGTGATCCAGTTTTTCCAACATTATCTAGTAATTGAATCTAACCATCTCTATTTATAAACTTTATTGTATATAAAATTTCCATATATACGTGAGTCTGTCTGAACTATAAGACATGGAGATTTCTAGATGGACATAGTCTAGATTTCTTATCTTGTGTTCCATCTCATTGTTTCGTTCACTAATTTCTGTTGCTTTGTGGTATGTCTCAATATCTGATTGGAAAAATTCCCTTTTTCCTCTTCAGAGTTAACTTAGCTAATCATGGACTTTGAGTGCATTTATTGAATTGCTAAGAAAATTCAACTGAAATTTTTAATGATACTGTATTGAAATTATAGATTAGTTTGGGAAGAAATGACATCTTCATGATAGCTTTATTTAAATTTACAATTTCTTCTCTAAGTATTACTTTAGGTGTGTCTTAAAATGTTTAATATACAATGTTTTCATTGTTTGGTCAATTCTAATTTTTTTAAATTTCTACAAAATTGCATTTAGCTTTAAGATTATTCAGTTGTGTTGAGATGTCAGTTGTAGAATTAGAAACCTCAGGAGTTGTAGAATTAGAAACCTCAGGAGTTTTTATGGCATGTGGAAGGAAAGGACCCTGTTAAGGTTTATTTTTGTTTCTTTGTTCCAGTCATGAGGTGAGGGGTGATTTTCTTCTTCTCTGATATTAGGGCCGTTGCCCTGGCCCATTTACGGAAGATTATCTTGCTCAACACCTTTGCTTGTGGACAGGTGCCGAATCCTCCAGGCCGCAGGACGGAGCATGTGGCCCCATTACGTAGCATCTCTTTCCTCAAGTTCTCAAAATGTTTTTCGAGAGGTTAGCAGGGTGCAGGTGGATTAAGGAAACAGACAGAATGAATCTCAGCAGTTCTCTGTTTCTGAAACATAGCTTCTCTAGAGCACGAAGGAAGTTTGCTTGGTTTGTTTTTAAAGACATCAGCCAGTGAGTGCAGAGTGGATCGAGGCCCAGACTCACCTGCACTCGCCATAAGGAGGCCTTTCTCTGACTGTTCAAGGCTCATTTTCCACCTGTCCGGTTGAATGTGTGTCCCCTTAGCTCCTAAGTGTTCTTTCATCAGTCGTTCAAACTCTTCTCTTTAAAAAAAAACCTTTCCAGGGTCTATACTTGCCTTGAATTTTTACAGTCTAAGAAAGACAAAAGAATGCCACTTTCCTTTTAATTGTTTCTCTCCCTGGCCCCGTCCATTCCCAGCCAGGGGCCTTTAAAGTAACGGTTTGTGATCACAGACTTCTCAAGTCTGTCCAAGGACTCCATTGAAACGTGTGGCCTGTGGGTCACCCATAGCCCGGTTTCTAAGTGCAGTGAAACCTTTTCAGATGTTGTTTGTCCTCGCTGTACTGCTAATGACTTCCTTCTGGCAACTTCTTCCTCCCCTGGCTTATCAGCTACCACGATCCCTTTTGCTTTGGATCATTCTTCTTGGTCACCTTTGCTAATTTTTTCTTTTTCCTTAAATATTGATGCTATCCTTGTCTATGTCTGTCTTATCCTGCATGCTCTTCCTAAATAAACCAACTGATTTTTTTTTCCAACAACTGCTTGTATGTGATGACCGTGGACCACTCCCCTGAGCTCGGAACTACTAATCAGGTCGCCTGCTGGACCACACACGCCCAAGCTGAGCTCCCTCATGCTCCTCCACACCTGTTCTCCTCCTTGCATTCTGCGCATGGCATCACTTGTCCCCTAAGACAGACCCCTGGGAGCCACCTGAAACATTTTCTCCTTCACCGCCCTCAAATCTGTCACCGCCTCCATAGCCTTGATTTGACCCCCAGTCATCTTGCTCCATGAGCATTGCCATGGTCTTTCACTGGGCCCCCCCCATCACCCTCCTAACTGCCTTCCAAACTGCAGCTGGAGTGATGCTTCTCATACATGAATACGGCGACGTTTCTCCTGTGTTTAAAATGCAGGGAAAAAATAAAGGATACGTACTTATGCAAAACAAATTATTCGTTGTTTATTTCACATTCAAATGTAGCTGAGCATGTGGTACTTTTATTCGATAAATCTGGCAACCACAACTCTACCTTCGAGGCCATTTTCACCTTAAACCCCATATTGAATGGGTGACACTGATGGGTGCGCCTCAGAGTATTTGTTACGCTTGGTTCAAGGAATAGTTCTTCAGTCCCCCTCCAACGGTGAAAACAGAAAGCAGAGTCCCCCGAAATGTTGGAATCAAGGGAGCAGAACTCTGCTGAGGAGCCCGAGCACGAGGTCGCCGTACCGACACCCACCGCGGGGGTGACGGACCCCCCGCTGCCTTTGCTCGCTGTGACCTCTCTCTGACGGGCTTCTCTCCCCCTAGCTTGCGACCACTCCTGCAAGAGCTGTGGGCCCAGCAGCCCCCGATGTCTGACCTGTGCTGAGAAGATGGTGTTGCACGACGGTTCGTGCGTTTCCGAATGCCCTGGCGGGTACCACGCCGATGCCGCCGGCAGGTGCAGAGGTAAGAGACGGGTCATCACCATCGTCATCATCAGAAAGCCTTCAGTACGTGCTTGACCGTACTTGGTGCTGTGCGCTGCTCATTTGGGAATTTGTGTTCATGATGGGAAAACGTCACTCTCAAAGGGACAGCGCTTTCATGACAGAACCTGTGTGTGTTTGGTATGGGAGTGGAAGATACGGGTGGACGCTGGGGGCCAGGATGATTGACTGAAGAACTTACGTGTGTCAATCATCATTAGAGCTCATTTGGTCCTTTTCAAATGCCAGGAACGTCTTTAACATACAGTCCTGTGTACTTGTAAACCATCACTAGATTAGGTTGTAGGTGTGACAAAATCAGTCCTTTTCTTTCCTTTTTTTTTTTTTTAGAGACAGCATCTCACTCTGTCACCGAGGCTGTAGTGCGGTGGCATCATCATAGCTTACTGTAACCTTGAACTCCTGGGGCACGAGGGTTAGGGATCCTCCTGCCTCAGACTCCCGAGTAGCTGGGACTACAAGCATGTGCCCCCACAGTTGGCCAAGATTTAAATTTTTTGTACAGATGGGATCTCACTGTGTTGTCCAGGCTGATCTCAAACTCCTGGCCTCAAGTGATCCTCAGCCTACCAAAGTGCCGGGATCACAGGCTTGAGCCACTGTGTCCATTTGAGAATCATCCCTTACATGGCATTTATAAACGCATGTACTCAACTACAGCACACTGCAAAATAAAAATAAAGAGTTAAACCAAGTTTGATAGCTAGTAAAGCTGAAGTCTGTATCCATTGAAATTTGTTTCTATGTGCTGTTTGTTTATTGTTTCTTTCAGACTTATACAACCTAAACTATGAAATATTCCAATTTGAGGCCTTATAAATTTCCAACTTATATGTGCCTGGCTTGTGTCTTTCCTTACAAGTAACTCAGAACTTCTTGCTGCCTGGGACATCTTGATTGCCCCTCCTGTCTGAAACACACACACGTCCTCTTGCTCCCTAGTGTCTATTCGTGCAGGATGTTTAGACCCATCCCTCTCCCTATCACCTTTTCTTTGCCTGTCAGCCTCTCTCTTGACTCACCCAGTGTTTATCGCTTTTCCTCAGTGTCCTGCCCCCAGCCGAGGTTCTCATCCTATCTCCACACCCTCACTCCACACCAGCTCTGGCCACTGTCCTGCGGAGCCTTCTTCCCGTGTCTGACCCCTGTCCTCAGCCTGCTGAAGGCTCTCCCAGGCCACGCCACCATCTGTCTTTTAGAGTCGAGATGCCCCTCTGTTAACACCAGGGCCAAAGCAGAGGAGACGCATACCTGACATTGTCACATGTCGAGACAATGAGTCTGCGATTCTTACTTAGAATCCTAGCACGCCAAAGCTGGCAGTATCTTAAATGATCATTTAGTCCAGCTTCTCACCGTGCATATGCCGAGTAAAGTAGGTCTGGAGAGACCTGCTCTTGGCCAAGGGCATCGATAAATTAGTAGGCAGAGGCTGGTCAAGATGCCAGCGCTTCTGGCTTTCAGACCCACGACTTCCCACTCTTCTCCATACAGGCAGTGTATGGAGGGCCATGCAGACCTAGGGCTAAATCCCAGCCCTCCTGTATGAATGAGCTCTGTGATCTTGGGTAAATTTTTTAACCTCTCAAGACCTCAGTTTCCTCATCTATAAAATGTAGTTAATAATGCCTATCTCATAATGTTGTTAATGAGAATTACAAGTAACAATGTATAAAGCACTTAATACAAACACTCAATAAAGAGTAGCTAATAAATAATAGGCAAGGCCAGATGCGGTGGCTCATGCCTGTAATCCTAGCACTCTGGGAGGCTGAGGCGAGAGGATTGCTTGAGGTCAGGGGTTGGAGACCAGCCTGAGCAAGAGTGAGACCCTGTCTCCACCAAAAAGCAGAAAAATTAGCCAGGCATGGTGCTGTGCACCTGTAGTCCCAGCTGCTTGGGAGGCTGAGGCAGGAGGATCACTGGAGCCCAGGAGTGTGAGGTTGCTGTGAGCTACGATGATGCCGTGGCACTCTATCCAGGGTGACAGAGTGAGACTCTATCTTAAAAAACAGAACAAAACAAATGAATAAATACGTAATAGGTATGGATGAACATGGATGAAAGATGGGTGAAGGGTGCCTTGGTAACCGCCCCTAACTCGTCTTTTCCCTTGACTTGGTGTGATGTGTGCAGGGGACCGAGGGGGTTTTCTGGCACATGGTGGGCTCTGCAGTCCCCTCAGTCCCGCGGTGTCTCCCCTTGCTGTCTCCCTCAGCCTGCCATGACTCGTGTGCCAGCTGCTCCGGGCCCACCGCCTCCCAATGCTCAGCCTGTGCCGCCCCCCGCGCCCTGCACCGAGGCCGCTGTCTGCCCCACTGTGGAGAGGGCTTCTACCCTGACCACGGGGTCTGCAAAGGTATCGTTGCCGTCAGCACCGTTCTTGGGAGACTGTCCATCACGAGGACATAGATTTACTCTTGTCCCTTAATACTACTTTCCAGTGCAAGTTTTCTGCTGGTGAATCTTACATGGTTATGCATACACTATATGCACTTTTTTATTACAAAACTTTTGCAAAGGGATAATCTGAAAAATCACATTTGAAAACTTGTGAAGACACCCAAATGTTCATGTGTTTTCTGCCTGTTCTTACGGCAAATGTTATTTCCTTTAGCGCAGATTAAAGCGAAATGGATCTCTTATTTCCTCCTTTCTCCACTCTCCTACCATTGCTGAGGTTTTCCTTAGACTTCATTTTGTTTTTCCCTGAAGAATTTCTTTTTGTTAATGTCACTGTTGAGCAAACTGAGAGTCACTAGCAATGCCTCTGGGCTGAGTAAAATGGAAAATCTTAAATAGCTGTTTGCCAAAAAGGCTCTGGGCTCGTTGGGAAGGCAGTATCATTTAAGCACTTTGAAACCAGAACATTGGGAGCAAGCACTTTAATTAAGTGAAATTAATTTATATTTATTTGTATATGTTCATGGAGTACAAGTGCAATTTTGCTGCATTGATATACTGCATTGTGGTGACTTCAAGGCCTTCAGTGCGTCCATCACTGGAGCAACACACATTGTATCCACCAAGCAACCTCCCATCATCTACCTCC